ATTAAATCGCATAGTCTAGTTACAGTTTATTATATAGTCTTTAATATTTTAGATAATACAATTACCGGTACGATTACAAGGATAATAAAATTATCGATATGGTACATATATTATCGTTAGTAAAATTATCATACTAAACTGTCAACTTCTCACTTAGCAGCAGTTGGTTTAGGATTCGAGTTGTACATTATTCTACCTCAGAGCGGCCCCATCCTGCTACAGTAACAAATGGTTCTCCGATCAGATTACAAGTCCGGTAATTAAAAACATGTTCGCTCAACCTCCATTGATCTTCATTACCATAAAACCCTCTTCAATGGAAACTCTAATGGTATTATTTATCATTGCTGTCGATTTGATTCGTTAAAAAATAAAATAAAAAATAAGCGTTATATATCAACATTAAACCAAACAACAAACAAATTCATTATATGACACACGATCGCGTTGATAAATGTTTTTAGGCAGTATTAAGCTACTGATTAACTCAACAGGCACACTTAATTAAATCAACTTTAAAAAGTTTTAGAGGTGTTAGACTTTGACTGATATACAATATTCAAATGCAAGGAATCTTTTAATAATTTCAGATTTGTTGATTTAGACTTGAGTGCGAGCTGACAGAGCACAAGTCGTGGTCACAACCAAAGAATGTTCTCAAAGGGATCGGATATTTTCTAACCAACATCTCAGTAAGTAAAACATCTCAGTTGTCAACGATTATACAAGAATTGACGTCCCCTGAGTTCGAATAACCAAGTTCTGCATAATGGTCTGTGTGTGTTTACTTTCACTTACCTATATATGAAATATATATTTTAAGATACAGCATTGAGATCGTGAAAATTTTCGAAACTTAGTTTTCAACGGAAATACATGTTTGAAGGTATTCCGAGTCCCACAAAATGGTCTGTGTGAGTATGTGTCCATATATGTATGTGGCCAGTTTAGCTCAAAAACTAAAAGTCGTATGAAAGTGAAATTGCATATTTAAGTTTGTATATACCTATGTATATATATGTTACAGCAACTTTTCCGTCAAAATCGGCTAACCAGAATTGGCAATTTATATAATCCATGTTACACGTTTTTACGATTTTCTCGAAAATGGCTCGAGCAATTTTGATCAAACTCTTTATCGGTGTATTATTAAGCACTTTTAAATATAACGTAGGTTTTATTCGAATTGATATTCTCTAACAGGGCTTAAACGGATGATTTACTATAATAGCTTCCTCTAAAGTACTTTCAATTTTTTTTTAAATAATTAACCATTTCACATTAATCTTTGATATAAAAAATAGTTAAATATAACATATGAAAGAATTTAAAAATTAACTAAAGGAAAAATAAGAGATCGTTACGGATAATAGTTGTGATGGAAAAACCAAATCACCCGAGCTCACCCGAAAGATTACCACATGCTTCTATTTCTAACATGATCTTAATATAATACGAACGTGGAACCCACATACCAGACTTAAAAGACAACAACTAAACAGACGGTTCGGACAGCTATATAGACTAATGAATAGAAAATCTCAACTTTCAGTCGACAGCAAACTACTAATCTACAAGACAATCCTCAAACCTATCTGGACCTACGGACTAGAGCTGTGGGGGTCAACAAAACCTTCTAACATTAAGCGCATTCGATCCTTTCAGTCGAACAAACCCCCCATAATGACTTTCATATCCCATTTGTTATTGACCTGATCTAAGACAAATTTTCCAAATTTCACCAGAAACTCACTTATCATCCAAATCCTGTAGCAAAATCCCTATCAAGCTCCAGCCATACCTATAATCCTCCCCGGAGGTTAAAACGGCAGTGGCCCTGCGACCTTTTGTAAATATGTATATTGGAGTACTGGCAATGGCCAGATTCTCCACTCATGTCCTGAGCGTCTGTTGCACTAGTGCCCTCCATCACTCTGCAATGGCTTGCAATACCAGTGACGCGACTGGGAAAGAAGTACTGGGATCTCCTGGGGTCCTGCCTTGGCTTCCATATTTGGGGGACAAGGCATGACTTAGAATTCTCTGAGCGAATGTAAATATTGTATATAGGTATGAATGTCTTTTATATATTTAAATTTCATTTAGCTTTTCTATATTTTTTTTCTCTAGTTTTATTTATTTATTTTTTTTTTTATGTATGTATGTATGTTAAACTTAATTTAATTTATGTATGTTAAACTCTTTTTCTTTTATCTCTATTTTAGCCATCATTTCTTTTTTTTTTTTAAATTTCTTTATTGAGTATTATAACAATCTGTCTGTTGGACATTGGTTATAGTGAGGTAAGATGACATTCACACCATATGTACAAAAAAATAAAATAAATAGAACAAAATAATAATCAAAAGTATATACAATAGACAATAAAATAAAATAACCTAAAAAATAAGAAAATTAAAACTAAGAAAAAAAAAAACAAAAACACATGCATACCTATATACAATCAGGCGAGGGAACTCCAGGAGAACCCTGCGCTACTCTCCCAACCGCGTCACTGGTAGTAAAGCCAGCGGAGATTGGTCGAGAGCACTTTAGCCTAGCCATCATTTCTATGTATATATTGTGTGAATGTTTAATGTAGCCCTAATATTAATGCCCACCAATGCGGCAGAATGTATTAATTAAAATATATATATATATATATATATATATATATAAAATACGGACTACGACAATGTTATGAACTAACACATTGCGGTATATATATATATATATATATATATATATATATATATATATATATATATGTGTGTAATATAATATATATATATATACATATATACATATAATATTAATATTTATATATATATATATATATATATATATATATATATATATATATATTAATATTTATAAATAAGAGTATTTAAACAAATAAAAGAATACTTTTACTTCCCATTTGTCTGAAAATACTTATTTCACCTAAGAAGAGGATGATAAGTGGAAGTTGTTTTTTTATTATACAGCTGTTCGATGGTTTGTTAACAGTATCAAAAAGTGCAACAGTATCAAAAATCCCAGCAATACTTATGACTTAGATGATGAAAATTCTCTATCTCAGGTTGCAAACTATATACCCCAGCGGGCTCAAATAACATGTTCATATACCGCAATGACCGAGACTGTAAAGCAGAGACACCGTTTGTTATAGAATATCGAAGCTATTGGACTACGACCTCTATTGGCCGGAATGAGAAGCAGATGGTGATAGCTACAGACCCGCGGGTATTCTAGGATGCATTAGGTGAGGCCGAGCACCTGCTACCGGAGTCAATAGGAGCTCCCAGATCAGCCTTATTAGATGGCTACCACGCTCTCCCAATCACCTATATGTGTAATTGCATCATTACCTCGTCCACAATATACAATAACAGCTGTTACCATTTCTCCTGCTTTATTGAAATCATTTTCAAAACCAGAAAATATATTTTTTTTTTTATGCAATGGCAATAGCCTTTTTTTTTCTTTAAATCAACATATTAACATCCGCCAAAAAATTCAAGAATGGTATCATCATATAGTAACCTAAAAAATTTTTATCTACGAAAATTCTCAGAAATCGGGCGTTTCCTCATTAAAATATTTTTTTTTTATACATATTTATTGAGGACATTTATAATAGTGTTCAAAGTGCACATTCACACTCTATTCATAATAAATAAAATTAAATAATACAGAAAAATAATAATACTGAAAATAAATGTATATAAGCTAAACAAAAAAAAAGAAGAAACTAAGCTAATGAAAATAACTACTCAAATACATACAATATCTAAAAAAAAAATATTCACAAATTTTCGATTTTCGATTTTTCCTTCCAAAGATTTTCGAGCCAATCCTTTCTCCCCACTCGTGGAAGGAAAGACAGGACTCTAAGAGATCCCAGCGCCTCTCACTCAGCCGCTTTTCTGGTATTAAGCACCAGTAGAGGCTGAGCAGAGGCGCTATAAACACACATACATGGCTTGAGTGGAGAATTTGGCCATTACCAAAACTAGCATACATACTTATTTACAAAATATCTCAGGGCCACTGCCGCTTCAAACTTCGAGGAGGATTGTAGGATAGAATATATTTATATTCTATTTATAGTAGAAAATATTTATTGTATTGTGGTGCTGGATAGGGATTGCGCAAGTTGGATGATAGGTAAAGTTTTGGTGAAATTTGGAGAATTCTTCGGAGATAAGGTCTAGGACAAATGGGGTATTAAGCTCATGGTGTAGGGTAGCTAATTGATTAAATTATGTAATAAAACTAATAAATACCCATTTGATTTGTACTTGAATTCTGTTTATGATATAATTTGATCACAAATTTAAAAAAAAGAAAGATACCAACAAAAATATTGGGACGTTAGTCCTATAAACCTCTTTATTTCGAAGTGTTGGGGGTGGAGGTCACGTCAAGCGGCCCAAAATTTTTGCAGACTACTTTCATTTTTGATTTTGTGATCGAATTATGTTAAGATTCAATTAAAAAGCACACGAGGTGAAAGAAGATATCACACGAGGCAAGATTACCGTTCGATGAACCACATAACTCGACTGAATTAAATAACTTAACTTCCCTGCTTATTTTTATTTTTCCAAGAGTTTATTTTTAACCTTTTCAGGAGAAGTTCCATAATTGACTACGGCATGTGTCAGCCGTCCAAAATAATATTCGGCAAATGGAATATTCTGTTATTTAAGAAGGCCTATTAACTTGTTATTGTTAGGCATTCTAGTGAAAGCTGCATTAGAAAATTGACTTCTGCTCCTAAGCATTTATAGGTGCAGCAAGTAAAGAAGTTTTTAAAAATCCACTCCTACTGGAAAAAGAATAAGAATAATTCTATGTCCCCAATTCTAGAAGAGGAAGGGAAAAAGGATGTGTATGAATTCTCTTCAAGATGGAGGAAGGAGGCTTTTTGGGGCTCAGGCTGCTGCTACTGGATCTTCGGACTTTTACAGATCTAGGACATGGTACTTCTTTAAATGCAGAAGACGCCGGACCAGAAGATGGAGTTTGATGGATGCAACACGAAGCATAGACTGGACTCTCGCAGACGAACAACCCCAGATCACCACATCCAATTTATAATTTCATCAGTTATGTTTTGTTATATACAATGGTTTTTCAAGTAAATAATGAATTAATGTTAAAATATTTTGTGGCAATATTCTCAAATCATTCTAGCTGGATCATACATTATTTATATAAACATACCTCTTCGTTATTATGTTTAATTAAATAAATAAGTTTTTTTAATAAGATTCTGTTGATTAATTTAATTAATACAGTTAATCCACGCAATTAGAAAACTGATAATCACAATGTAATCCAATTAAACATGGAATAAATAATATATTGCAGATTTCAATATGTTTTATTAAATATTCCTGAATAATTATCCAATGGTTATTATCCGAATAAATAATGTTTAAGAACACAGTAGTCGAGAAGGAAGGATCATCCTCGGATTACCTCTAACTTAAACACAGATTCTTAACGCGGACGATTTTTTTTCTTTTATTCGATTTTCAAAATCTACGTTTCGTGAATTGTAAAACCTCAATTTTAAAGAGGTGTTAGCTTTTTTTCCGATTACAAAGAAATTTGAAAATAATAAGCCAATAAAGCCGAAAGAAAGAATTTCCCACAAAGTATACTGATTGAAGTGTGAATTATATTAAATTAAAGGCAATCTATGCAAAAAAATAATAGCTAAATCAAATCATGTTATAAAAGAATTTTTTTTATTATTAAAATGATATGAAACGATAAACTTTTTTAGTTATTATTATTTCTTTTTTTTAAGTTATACAATTTTTGTTTAGTTTCTGTTACCTACCTCTCTCTCCCCCACCGGGTTCCTTTGTATTCCTGAGGGACCCCTGAGATGATATAAAAAGATAAAATATGCTAAAGGAAACTTGATCTTCACGGGAGGCCAATTAAGCGGAAACAGCGGCCTGTTGAATTTAAGATGGGGGCCACGGTAGATCAAAAGCTATCCTGTAATTACATCTCGGCTGTATTTGTCAGCCTATCCGTCGCAACCTTTGCCTTTCCCTCCAATCACGCCTAATCCTATTAGGAGAACTTAAAATCACCCCTCTCTGAGCCAGCTCCGTGTCACAAATTGTTTTCCGACCGATATCGCAGGATCAAAACCGTTAGGTCCTTTTTGAACTTTATCAGCTTAACCTGTTAGTTCAACAATATCTGCTAACCTTCTTAAGATGAAAGATTTATATAAATCTATATATATATATAACATTATGAAAATATGGAGAAATTATTTTAGCGTATTACTTAACCCCAACTCGGAAAACCTTCAAGAAATTCCAACTGAGTCTTTCAGAAATATTAAAAGATGATACGTAAATGGAAATACTAGGCCAATAGGAAGTGGATATTTTAACAAAGTTAAAAAAACAACAAAACGCCCAGATTCGATGGGATCTCAGCAGAGATACCTAAAAATGGAGATGATGTTATTTTGTAAATTTCAGACAAGAAAGAAATTTCCAAAGAATAATATAAGGTTGTCATTGTCGTGATTTACAATAGGACGATAAACTAGAATGTCAAAATTATAGGAGGATAACACTACTTTTATAATGTTATTAAAAATACTAATGATAATATCAGAAGTTATGGAGGATTATCAAAGTGGGTTCCACCCAGGGAGTTCTACAATTGATAACATATTCACAACCAGGAACATGTTAGAAAAGTGCAATGAGTGGAACGTTATTTATACCATCTCTTCATAGATTACAAGCAGGCATATGATAGTTTAGAAAAAGATGAGATCTTTGAAAACTTAAGGATCTTAGATTGCCCTACATAACTTATTAGGCTGGTAAACAATAGAGGTTTAGTACATGCCCAGATAAAAGTTTCCTAAGACTTTATCATTAAAAAAAATGTCAAATAGGGTGATATCTTATTCCTAATGTTATTTAACATGGTACGTGAGAGGATTATGAGGGCAGCTAAAATAAAGGAGAAAGAATGTATATATTGCAATATGATTCAATGCTTAGCATATGCCGACGATGTGTTCATAACGAAAGGAATCAAGGTACGCTCAAAATGGTGGAAGAAATTAAAGCAAGAATCAGGAACAGAAATAAATGTTGAACACTTTATAGTTGACCGCTGTGTATTTTAGAGGAAGGAGATGGTCCGGGGTGGCGGTCATAAATAGACTAAAATACTGAAAAAACTATTTTATTCCAATCCAACGTTTCGACCCGACTTTGTAGGTCTTCTTCAGGGAGGTCTGTTCAGCAAGAAATTTCAGTAAAAACTAAATAAAATAAAAATAAATGTTATTGGTCGCTCCGAATGGTATTATAAAATAAAGAGATCCGAAACCTCAAAATGAGGGCATATAAACAGATACTTCGTCCTCGTGTAATGTATGATCGGGAGGAATGGATCTAACCAAGCAGCAAGAGAGGTAGCAGAGTTCATAGGAGAAAAAGATTGAGAGAAGAATGTACGGCCCTACCTAAGAAGGAAGTCATTACAGCAAAAAATAAAAAATAAATAAATGTAGAACTTAAGGACCTATATAGGGAAGCTGGTATACTTTCCTGCATAAAAAAACACAGAGGAGAATAAGATGGCTGGGCCATGTTTATCGGATCGGGTTCACACCTTGTGTTGTATTGACATGAAATGACCCTTTCGTTTTAGTAGTTCGTTTTAAAGACTAACTGCTATTATTATTTATTACTTAATTGATTATAAAATACAAAATTATACTACAAAGTGTAAAAATTAGGGATTATTTTTTTTCCTCATCAAATAAATAAAAGTTAACTTTTACTATTCGCTTTTTTTTTTCACTTCATTTTTGTATTCGCATCTGTCACTGACGATAAGCACATGTGTTGACAATCAATAACCAGCAAATGGCATTTCAGGCATGGCAATGTCAGCCGTGCAAATAATTATCTGCAGTAGTGATTGAATTCCCAAAAGTTATTCAATTTAAGTAAAATACTTGGTACTCGGTGCTCAAAATAGCATTTGCCCATCTCTGCCTGGTTGATAAATACTATGTTATATCAAGACTAAAGTAAAGTTGTCTGAACACAAAAATGCTTTAGCTCGCAAATTAATTACATATTCAAAATAAACTCTAGGTTTATCATTTATTATTAGATAAAAGACTAAAATTAATTTTATGCGCTTTGTAATTTTTTATTCCAAGTGACTAGCGCCCCCTTCCCTCGTTATCACATTTCGACAAGAACAGTGCCCACCAGTTTAGGAGGAGGACAACCAAATTTCTCAAGGACACAGTTAACATGAACTACCGTTCGGCAGAATGAATAAAAACTAAAAATTATACAGATATTGTTATAAATGGAAAAATCCAAACTACAAATTAAGAGTCTCAAACATAGAGGTGAGTAGTTAGCTAGCTAACGTTTCGCTAATACAGGTATCTTCAGGGCGGGAAATACAAGTTCAAATATATGCAAAAAGAAAAACAGATATAGAACAGAAAGTATGATTTTGTCTGCCCTGATAGTCTCTGAATCAGCAAAACGTTGGTATGTATGTTGGAGACTCCTGCTTTGAAATTTGGATTTTCCAATTATAAAATAATCATCTTGTATATCTCTTCTAACTGTATGCTTATTCTAGTAATAATTAGACAGATAATTAATGCATACACATACCTACTTAAATCCATACGGAGATGTTTTCCTCACAAATTTATAGTACAATAAAAAAGAGGCACTTACTAAAATAGCTGACACTCCCGTATACATAAATAACAAAATTCTGTTTCTTAAGTCCTAAATAACACTTTTCGTTCCTAACGAAACCCAATGCTCAAGAAGTGTGAAAAAATACCGGTTGATATTCTTATCAGAGCATCTTACATTCTGTTTTTAAAAGACCTGAGGATTAAAAGAATATCCTAAAAAATTTACGAGCCAAGTAATACTTTTTTTTTTAAATGGAGCTTATGAAAGCTCTTGGATTAAATGGGTAAAAATTATTGTTTCCACGTAGCTAGAGGGATTATCCACGAGCCATCCTTACCCTAGTAGAAGAAAAGAAAAAGGTGCACTGGAGAACTGCACTGCGCTTGAGCTTAACCAAGCGGAACTTAAGCTAAGTCCACCTCACCCCTTCGTCCAAGCGGAACTTAAGCAAAGCCCACCTCACCCCTCCGTCCACGTGAGACCTAACAAGCTTTATCCTCCGGAAGACACTTTAAATCATTGTTCCGGTTCGTTAGGGCATTATTCACCAGCCTCGATCTTTGCCGAGTGACCTGGAAAGTCAAATAAACGTCACGGGATGTTGGTTTATTAATACGTCCCATCATTATTTCCTCACATGAGGACAGTTGACAGTGTTGAGGTAATAATTTGATATGTTACAAACAAATATGATCAAAAGAAAATATATCCAGTATTGTATTAATCAATAATTATTAGATGGAATAAATATATTCAGCCTAAAAAAAAAAAATTAAATGTGCTAACAAACATCATATAGGGCAGTACCTGAGCCTAGGCACAGCTGGATTATATAACGTTTTGGGCTAAATTCACTTAGATGAAAAATAAACTTGGCCTATTCCATAAATTAAAAGACACTTTTTTAGTTCCGCTACAGAGGTGGTAGTCCCTACTGCCATAAAATTACAACTAATAGAAAAAAAATATAAAAGAAAAGTGATGAAAATATTTTCAGGAACGACACAGTCTGAGCAAGCTCCTTGAAGGGGAGAGCCTGAGGAGAAGCATGAGTGGGGAAGACTCCCCTGGAGATGCTTGTGAAGTGGAACAGCCAGTTGGAGGTGCTTGGAAGAAGTGCCCAGGACTCGCAAGAACTCGCTGAGAAGACGGTAGACTAACTAAAATCTTTTGACTAAAACAGTAGGAAATACTGATTTAAGAAGGAGGATTTTATTTAATCATAAAATATAGGACGTAAGTGAGATGGTACTTGCTTTGGTCAGCCACTTAGAAAATGCGACTACTGTCGGATATCTTATAAATAAATTAAATAAAGTGAATAATTAATTAATTACTCTTTTTCTGAGATTTAGCTGTTGAAAACGACAATTTTATTTTTTCTTGATTAACAAATTACAAAAGGTTTTTTTTTTAATATTACTAAATAGTTAGGAAGACCTTTCGATGAATTCTATATTCTTATACAGAACTACAAATTACGATAAGTGATCAGGCAAGGATCACGCTCAACCGTCATGTTTTCCTCCTTAATCAATTATTTAACTAATAGTACTCACTTTATAGAGGCTGGGTGTGCCCGAGGAGAGTTTCTCGACCACGGGGTCGATCCTCGGCTGATGAAAAATTACTTGATATCAGACGGATTCGAAACCGGGACTTTGAGCTTAGTAACCCAGAGTCCATATAATATAATATGCCGATATAATACCAACTCACTGAGCTACTATGTTCTCTTACTAGAAGAAAACTCTCTCAAAACTCTTGTTTTAAATTAAATACACCGTTAGCTCGGTTTGACAAGGTACTAATTTGTCTAATCATAACTATGTTAAAAAATGTATTATTAAAAAATAAAATAAAAGTGGGGGAAAGGCTTGGCTAGAAGTTTCACTGAATGAATGAATTTCGTAAATTTCATGAAAACGTAATTTTTTTATTTTTAGTTCAGAGATTATTAACTAATAATTACAATTTGGTCCGACCAGAAGGCAACATCTATCGGTCGGTGCCGGTTTGTATTTAAGTTGTTATTTTGATTAATTTAATAGTTTATTTGCTTATATTCTTTCAGTTTTAGTTATATTATTATGCTGTTTAATTTATTTTTATTTATTGTACATAGAGTGTGAATGTGCTGAATGAACACTATTATAAACGTCCTTAATTGAGACAGATTGTAATATTTCTTAATAAACAAGTTCTATAAAAATAAAAATTATCACGTTTAACCTTCATTACTTTACATTGTAGTAATTTAAATTTTGAAAGTGGTTTGATAAAAAAATAAAAATACTTTCTCCATTTTTATATAAAATAGGTTGAAATGCAGTTATATATAGTAACAGACAAAATTATAAAAACTGTAACTGACTAAGTTTAAATGAAGTTATTACTTTTAAATTGAAAAAAAAATAATAGGTCAGAAGCACCGTTAATCTCATTTTTAGCCGAAAATTTCAGTTACGAAATAGTCAAACGTAGTTAATAACGATAAGCATACACATATTAGAGACAAATTAATGTATATTTTCCCACATATACATTATTTCCTTCGCATTATCACACTAAGTGCAGGAAGGAATTATACGGCTTGATACATTGCTGGTAGGCCTATGTGAGATATGCCTGAAGGTTTCTGAAAGGTAGGCAAGCACTCAGGGACATTACTGCCTGAGACAGAACATAACTCGGCCCATAAGGAATACCGCCGGAGATATACAACGGCCCTGGTTAAATTATTGTACAAGAGACAGCATTAGCAGTTGGTGCTGCAAATCAGGACTAGGTCTTAGTGAATCTAAATGGCCCGAGGGTGTAGTGTGTAATGGCTACTTACTCATCTTCTCCTACTCTGAATATTACACCTTCTCTGAGCTCGGTTCTCCAAAGAAGTGTTTCGTATCTACAATAAAATATACCACTCGACATGTCCATAAAAACTCAAGTACAGGACCGATAAACCGAACACGTAAATTGCATAGCCTGTTCGAATTATCACAGATTAATGTTATTTATTTAATGAAATTTACTACTGTATAAAAAATAAAACCTATAAATATGCACACATTAGAAATAATGACATGTACAGACTTGAAGAGATACTACCCAGTGGTAACACTCCCTATTTAATTCTAGATAAGAAAATCACGAGGCTATCTCCTTTTCAGACCCCTAGGGGGATTATCAGGAATCGAGGAAGAAGCAAGGCTGGAAACAATTAGATTCGGATGGGACTGGAGTTTATCATGAAAGGATAGGTATCTGGCTCAGGCTTAATCAGCGGCATACGGAACATCTTTATGAATGGTTTTATTTGTGACAAAATATAGGTCATTAAGGATTTAGGATTGTAAGGATTGGATACGATAAGAATTCGATAGTTTGGTAAAGGTCCGAAGCTCAACTCCGAATGTTCATAAAGGTCTTATTATGGTTAAGTAGATGAATCTTCTGTAATTAATTGTAAGTTTAGAGCGTTATGATAAACAACATGAGCAAATCGATAGAAAAAAGACTAATTATTTATGTTATAAATCTAAAAATCCAAATTATAAAACCAACTTATCAACAATTCATAACATAACAAGGCATCATAACAAAAACAAGGTCACATGCATGTGAAATGAAATAACAAAACTGAAAAGGAAAAAATAAATAAATGAAAGGTTGCTATTGATAACACACGTAGTCAGACAAATACATACTGAAGTAAAGAGAAGTTCTGTTAACACTGATAAGGGAGGTTATATTGAACAGCTGATTAGGAAGAATTAAAAAATATAAAATAAAATATGCATAACTAAAATATAATTTTTACAAAACATGTTAAATTAAATAAACTAAATACAAAATAAAAAAATTTAAATTCAAAAGAAAATGTAAATAAGTAATATAAAAGTAACCTTAAAGGTATAAATAATATCCATTCCGCACAAAACTTTTTTAATAGACGGTCGTTCAATAAAATTTTTATTGAAATAACCAAGTCATTATAATTAATGGAGATTAAATAGTGTTCAATTGAATACCTCATTTAGTCATCAGATGTAAATCATAATCAAGTAATTAGTTAAAAAAAATTATTAAATAAAAATCGTTTATATAGAAACTGTGTTCTTGAAGATGACCTTATCATTTCATAAAATTTTTTTTTTGGAAAAGAAAAATAATTATATTACGATACAAGACATATTTATTCTATAGCAAAATTTAAAAGATCGGAATAGCTAACAATGTATTTTTATTAAAAATTCTAAAGTCAATCCAAAAGTGAAACTTTTATATCTCTATTTTTTAGGCCTAATATTAGGAGGTTATTAAAATGAATATTAAAATAAAAACTGATATTGAATATAAGTTGTGCCTCTTCTTTCTTATAGTGCAAAGTGATATATCAAATATCAAATAACTAAGACTGGGACACGATTTTTTTAAAATTTATAAATAAACAACCATTTACTTCCATATATGTACATAAAAATGTACAGAGACATTTTATTTTTAAAAAAAAAGAAAGAATATTTATAATTTTTCAGATAGGTTTTCAGAGCGGCAGAACTTATGTTCGTATAGAACTAGTTCCGTGACAAAGTACCATAGGGATTCGACCACATAAAAACCTTTTTTGTGTGCCAACTTCAGAATATCATTCCTTTATATTAAGCTCGTTTCGACCATGAAACTAACTCTATATGTATAAATAAAATGGAACAGAAAAATATTTAATAAGATAAAATATTATTTTATAATACAGTAAGATGAAGTTTACTATTATCAGCAGAAACATATAAATTTCTATGAACTTTCTTATTTTACATAATTAAATTCCAAATAAATTATCAAAATAAAAGGAAAATTCTTAAATATAACCATTGGAGTATGTTAAGACTGCTATATACTTTGTTGTAAGAAACGACAACGGGTTGAATCCGGTCAGGACATATGATTTTTTTATTTTATTGTTGATCCAGAGATTAAATCTAAGTTATTAAATCTTATTATTTTTGAAGTTGTTTACCAAAAGGATAATCTGTCATTGCTGTAATATATTCCACATACATACATAATGAGTTAATGAATAAACGTCAAAATTATTTCCAATTCAGAGTAACAACAAAATTGAGTTTCTCTCTGTTATAAAGAGCATTTTTATTAATCACATAAAAATAATTGCTTATTATTTATATTTTCATATTTAGTTAATACGGTCAGAAGGAAACCTTATTTCACTATAATCATTGTCCTTGATTAAGATAGTATGTATAATTACTTATTAAAAAGACTTCTATACCAAAATTAAAAAAAAAAACATTATAAAATAAACATTTAGGATATGAAACTGTAGCTTTAAATTATATATATATATATGTATATAGCTTATATTCAACGCTGTATATATATTTAATAAGGTGCTGCTATCTTAGGAAACGTTTCTCGTATATGATACTATTTTCTATTATTGTAATAATAAAACACTACTAAAATACTGATACTAAAATTATTATTGAAAGGGTAACATTTCTATTTAAAATTTAATTTAGTGTTATTTCTTTTATTTTACATTTACTTTTTCTTTCAAATAGTTCTTAGTCGTTATGGAATACAATAATATGATGTTGGTATAGAATACAGGCTCACAGAAATAGTTAATGTAGATATTATTCGGTGACAAGAAGTTTATCGCCGACAGTTATCAGTATGTTGAATTTTTATATTTGGCACTTAAGCTGTTTTCCTATGAAAAAAAAATAATATGTCCAAAAAAGGTTCATTCATTGATACGGACGGATTGTTTCATTGTTGTTTTTTTACAAAAATGTATACAATGAGGTAAATATACTTTGTATTTTATACTCGAGTAATGCATACCAACTCCTAAAAAAAGTGTTCTACGTTTAATATTACCTCAATGTTTATTTATTTTTTCTCCCTCAAAGGAATTTCCATTAAATAGATGGTATGAAAAATACTTGGATGAAGGTACTTCAGAAGGGCTTTTGCATGAAATTCCATAGTAGAGTGTCAAGGGGCATTAACATAAACAAAGCCTTTTTAGGTAAGAAGAAACCTTCTGAATATATTTAACAGCGTCCTTAGAAGCTTACGAAAAGTGTACATGTGAAACAGGATTTCATTCTGGAAAAATATTTGTAATTCTACATATGTTAAATAAAAAAAAAACCTTAAATAACAACAATAGTTATAATAAAAGAAAAAAAAAATACGGTATGAGCTAAGATCACACGGTAGAAAAACATGAAGGCTGGATTATTAATATAAAATATTACTTTTTTTTTGTTGGCAAAATAGGACAGGCTTTAACAAGCTTTAAAGCCAAAAA